GACTGGGAATGACTGATCACTATGACACACACTGACTACCAGGGGGCAGACGCTCAATGCAGGAGCTGCCCTCTGGTGGTCAGTGAGCTCCCACATGGGAGGAGCTCTGCTCAGCCACAAGCCAGTCTGATGGCTGCCAGTACAGCGGTGGTGGTGGGAGCCTCTCCTGCCTCCTCAGCAGCGCTAAGGATGTCCGACTGCAGCTTAGGTCTGCTCCCTGCTGGCAAGTGGGCATCCCCGAGGGCTGCCGGGCTGCCAGAGGGATATCTGATTGCCAGCTTAGGCCCAATCCCCCGGGGAGCAAGCCTAAGCCAGCAAGTGGTCACCCCTGAGGGGTCCCAGACTGCGAGAGGGTACAGGCCGGGCTGAGGGATCCCCTAGCCCCGAATGCACAAGTTTTTGTGCACTGGGCCTCTAGTTGATTATAATGAGAACCAAAAACTTAAAATACAGCCTTGAATCTAAAGCTAACACAGACCCTGACTTCTGTCCACCCACAGGCCATCCTCCCCAGCTCTCCCGCTCCCTCTGCATAGCCCCTAGCACGGGCCTTGTGTTGCATATCACTGTGTGTGTGTGGGGGGTGGGGGGGGTGAGAATCTTACATATTATTAAAAGGATATCATGTTGTAAGTTATTTTCCATTAGTGGACCCAGGTGAATTGCATTTACTCATTCTTATCCTGCTAAGTTTTATCCATACTCTTACATGGAGCTCCAGTGGATTCATTTCTTTGCCGGTTACTTTTTTTGCCTTGTTAATGCTCAGTTGGATTGTTTCCAGGGTTCTGGCTCCATAAGCAAGGCTCCCATGGCCTTTCTTGTCTCTGGGATGCATATGGAAGTTTATTTTGGGTGGATACACAGGAGTGGAACTGATGGATCCTGGGTATGTAAATATTCCATTGTATAAAAGAATGGCACACTTGTTGCTAAAGTGGTTGTACTGAGTACACTCTCCTAGCTATTAGCCACCTGCCACTCCTGCCCTCCCCACCACCTCTTATTTTGTGGGAGTCTAGTTGATGGAAAATGATATATCTTTATGGTCTCAATTTGCATTTCCTGGATCACTAATGATTTTGAATATCTCTTCACATAATTATTGGCCATATGTGTTGTCTCTTCTGTGAAAGGCCTGTGCAAGTCTGTAGCCTATTTTTCTATTAAATTGTTTGAACTTCTCTTACTGATTTGTAAAAGTTCTTTATATAATCTGGATGTTAATCCTGTATTGGGTATATGCCTTGTAAATATTCCTGCCACTGTGATATGTGCTTTTTTATTTTTTAAGTGTCTTATAGTTAATAGAAGTTTAATAAAGTCAGAAGTAGCCATCCTTTCTTTCATCACAAGTGCTTTTGTAGCCCTGCTGCAATGAACCCTGGGAGTTCCCTGTGTGGGTGGAGGATGGCTCTGGGAGGCGAGGAAGCAGGGAGGGACCCGGACCAGGCTGCACATTAATGAGAGGCCTTACATCAAGGTTGTCCTCATCATCTCCACATGAGGCACCTCCCGCACGCGCCTCCCCCCTGCCAGGGTTCAGGGCAGACCGACAGCTGAGGGTCAGAGCGCCATCCTATGCAGGTGTTAATAAATCAGCAAGCATGGCAATAGCATCATTTATGTTGCATTTTATTACTTTTGCTAAGGTATCACTTGATTAAATGTAAATATTCAAGATCTGCCATAACATGAACTTTTATGTGTTTTAAGTGTCTGGAGACCCCAGACTTGCCCCAGCTTCTCTCAACTTTGAGGGTTCCTAGTGGGAAAAGCGCCACAGGTACTGGCGGACATGCAGCTGGGATCCGCACCCACCTGTGGCAGGCGGAGCTGGGATCCGCACCCACCTGTGGCAGGCGGAGCTGGGACCCGCACCCATCTGTGGCAGGAGGAGCTGGGACCCACAGGCACCTGTGGCAGGCGGAGCTGGGACCCGCACCCACCTGTGGCAGGCGGAGCTGGGACCCTCAGACACCTGTGGCAGGCAGAGCTGGGACCCGCACCCACGTGTGGCAGGCAGAGCTGGGACCCGCACCCACGTGTGACAGGCTCCAGAACCACACACGCTGCTGTCGAAGTGGCTGAGCACTCTGCACTAACTGCAGTGTGAGGTCGCCGCCCATGGGCTCTCACTCCACAAGGAGCACGGAGCCAGTCTCTGTGTCTCCCCTGGACAGGAGCCACATTCAGCCTGAACGGCCCCTGGCTCTACAGCAGGACCCAGACCTCTGCCTCTCTCCCTGGGCCTGTGGGCTCCCCTGGGGGGTGGGGCTGGGAGGGTTCTGAGCACCCTTGACATCATGAAGAGCAGGGTGGTGGGTCCTGGTGGCCCTGGAGCGTTCCCCAGACGGTCCCCTCATAGCCACAGCACTCTGCAACTGCCAGCAAGTGGCTGGGGATATGGAACATAGGTGTGTGCACGAGTGTGAGTATGTGGGAGTGTGGGTGACAGTGTGAGAACCTGTGAGCTGGTCACACAGAAGGGCCTTATACCAGAAGGAAGCGAGGAGACAGCGAGGCAGGCTGGACAGCGGTGTGTGTGTGTGTGTGTGTGTGTGTGTGTGTGTGTGACACACTGTGTGTGTGTGTCTGCCTGAGGGCGTGTATGTGAGAGAGAGGCATGAGGCATGTGTGTGGGAGGTGCCATAGGTACAAGGGAGGGGTGCTGAGGCACCCTGGCCAGCGTCTGCTCACAGGGGCGCGTCTGTCTCACGCTGTTCGCTAATGACCACAGGGACAGCAGCCCCGGAGGCCAGCACCACTGGACAGAGGGTGCCCCCACCGGCAGCTCCTGACACCACCTTCCTCTCACCATCCTCCTCCTCACTGACCGCCAGGCCCGTGCTGGATAAAGGCAAACTCCTCAGCCTGAACCCCTGGCGCTGCCCCCTAAGGGAGGTGATGCAGTGTCTGACTGTATCTGTGTAATGGGATGATCATGATTAATTCAGTGCACAGAGGAAATAACCTGAAACAAATGAGCAAATTCTAACCCACTCCTGAAGGATGTGATGGCTTTTCTCCACCCTCCTCTCTCCTGGCTCCTTCCAGCCTTACCCGCCCTTGGATTCCCCCAACACAGCCTGATCCTCGGCCCAATGCCCTCACCACTGTCTCCCTGGCACAACCTTCGCCACAGGCAGACCCACGCGCACCCTCCCTCCCTCCCTCCGCGTCTCGCCTGGCCTCTCGTTTTCTTTTGCTGAGTATCCTCCTGCGGGTGGCAGGCACCACTGGGCCGGCATCCTGAGACCACAGGAAGGAGGCCCATGTCTCAGGCTCAAGCCACCTGCTCTTCGCTGACCCCTTGAAAACTGACCGTTTGGTACCTAATGAGCAGCCCCTCCGTGTGTTGTCAAGAATGTGCGTCTACCCAGGAAACGCGTGTGTCCCACGTGGCAGTCACGTGCTGGGAGAAATGCCGATCTACCTGCTGGAGGTGGAAGCTCTGCAGTGACAGGGCTGTTCAAAGAGGTGACCGCGCCCACAGCACCCGCAGGCCGGGGGCCGCGCCTGCCTACCTTCCTGATGCCTTCCGAGGGGCTGGACACGCAGTTGTCGGCGCCCCCGTTCTTGCTGATGGTCCGCCAGAGCTCGGCAAACGTGCTGTCCTGCTCCAGGGGGTTGGTGCCCTTGGCCCGGAAGTACTCGTACACGGCCGAGCCGCGCACCGTGCCGTAGGGCAGCTCCACCTGCTTGGACAGGTCCTGGAATGTCCTGAAATGCAAACAGGCTGTGAGCCACTGCCCCAGGCTGCCCACTGAAGGGCCAAACATGGGCTGCGAGGCCTCCTGAGGTCCGAGCCCAGCGGTGGCCGACCCACACTGCTCATCCCACCCCAGCAGCACAGATCCCTCAGCCCAGGGCGAGACTAGCCAAGGCCGCATTCTACTGAAGTTGTCTCCTCGGTGAAGATTAATTCAGTAAAGTTCTGAGCACCTCAGACCAGGGCCTGTGCTGAGCTCAAGGGACAAAGGATGAGCAGGTCATGACCCTGCCTCCGGGAGCTCGGAGTCCAGCTGTGGAGCCTCAGCGCAGGGCGAGGCGGGTACTGGCGCTCTCCACCCACACCCAGGGCACAGGGAAGAAGGCAGCTGGCGAGGTTGAGGACAGCCACTGGCCTGGAGCCCGGAGCGTGTGCCAGTTTAGAGGCGGGCCCTCCGCAGCGGGCAGCGGGGCCGAGGTCCACCCACTGTCACCCTCCAAGCATCTCCGGCCACTTTGTTTTTCAATAAAGAGATAAATCTGGGCTTTCCTATGAGATCACTTGATTTTTAAGTGTTGACAATTATTGAAAAGATGGCAAAGATAAAACAAAACACTTCTGAGGGCCTCGGGTCGCTGTCCATGGAGGAGAAGCCGGCAGCTGGGGCCAGGAGCACCGTGAGGAAGGGCGTGTCCCAGGAAAGCCCGGGAGCGCCCAGGCCGGCAGAGGAGGAAGGCTGGGGTGAGATGCACCCCGGCCAGTGGGCACCCCGCTCAGCTGCGCGAGCTGCGCCCCGGCTCAGTGTGCTGCGAGAATGTCGCACACAAAACAGAACGGCAGGGAACGCAGGCCTCCGTGGGGAGGAGCCTCTTCCTGAGCTCCAGTCGCTCACCCTGTCCTCATGTCTCTTCTGGAAACCTGTGTCCTTTTCATCAACTGAACACCATCCCCCCCTCACTGAGTCATAGTTCCAGTGAGACCAGTCTTCTCACCTGACCTTCACAACCCTCCTCCCGGCCTCATCTCCGCCGGGGCCCCTCCACAGCCCGGAGCCAATGCTAAACTGAGAAGTCCCCGTCCAGGTCCCTGTCCCGGGCCCCAGGCCCCAGTGCCCCCTCACAACCCTGGAGGCCAGGCCTCCCCTGCCCCAGCACCCCTCACAACCCGGCGGCCTGGCAAGTTCGCTAAAGTCTGTGCCTTAGTTTTCAAACCTTTTAAAAGTAAGGTCAGAAGCAGAGCCTGCCGTGGCTGGCTACCGTGGCCATGAAATGAGGTGGTGTGCTCAGCCCCAGAACAGCAGTGCCCCACGCAGATCCACGCGTGACGTGAGCCAGCGCTGGGCACCGGCACTGCTGGTGTGTCCTCCATGGAGTGTGGCCCTGAGGACTGAGGCGGGGCGCCTCCTGCCCCCAGCGCGGCCGGGCTCACCCAGCCTCACAGCCAAGGACGCCACTTGCTCTGCGGCCGCTCTGTGCTTCTGCAGGTCCTGGCGCAGCCCAGGCCGAGAGCTCAGCATTCATTTCAATGCATCACAGATGAAAGGGAGCACAAAATCACAAATCTGATGAAGAAATCTTTCTAATTATTGCCCATTATTTTTATCTAATTGAAGCAAGATGCTCCTTTGCCTGCAGGGCCTGTGGGCTATACCTCCGCTGTAATTGCCTGTGAAGGAGGAACATTTACACATGTTTTTATGTTTGCCATGGCAACACGGACACACCCAGGCTCTGATAAACTGGGCTGCTCTGCGTTTCCACGGGCCGGGTACGGGTGCAGCCTCCAGGCGCTCAGCACCGGCTCCTCCCGCCTCTGAAAGGAGAGAGGCTCTCTCCTCCGGACACGTGTTGGCAATGGTGAGCTGCCCAGAGCTTCGGCGAGCACCTCTGGATGACAAAGAGGCTGCCTCACACCCCTGCTGTCTGAGCTCAGCGTTCCCACCGCAAAATGCCCCTCCATCTTCTCTCTGCCAGCCGGTGGTCGGCCCAGGCCTCCACCCATCCACTCCATGACCTTTAGTCTGTAGGGAGGGCTCTCCCATCTCAAATGCAGCTTCCTCTCTCAAGGAAAATCTCCAGCCCACCAACGTGCCCAGCACCCACCGGGCACTGCCACCCATCTCAGTGGACGCACCTACAGAAAGCCATTTGGAGGTCTGATCAGGGAGCCCAGCTATCACACCCCGAGTCAGCTATCTTCCTGGGCACACCCTCTCGTCGGGGTGTAAATTTGGAAGGGACACAGGGGGAGGACTAGCACCCCGGCTCCAAGCCCACAGGGGCAGCCAGCAGAAAGCAGGCGCCCGCGTCAGACAGGACGCCCGTCCACACGAGGGGGGCTGCAGGCCCCGAGAAGCGGCCCTGGCAGCACACTTACGCTGGCCTGTTTGTCAGTGTAGGCTCTTCAGCAGCGCCCGCTAGAGAGCACCCCTGGGAAATGAAGAGCCGCTCCTCAGCCTGGGGCTTCTGTAAGCCTAAGGTGCCTGGTGCAACTGGCCGAGGCCATTCCAACAGTTGTTCCACCAGCAGTGACAGGACAGCTAACCTACTAGGTAGGACTCAGCTGCACATACAGCAAGGACTGGATGCTGGGCACCCCCAAGGAGTCCACAGTGTGGGGCTGTGGGCAGCAAAGTGGCTGCACAATGAGAAACTAGAGTGGCGTTCTGCAGGCCCTGGGAGCTCAGAGGGCTGTCAGCTCCTGAAAAGAAGAAAGACTTCCTAGAGAGGAAACAGTAAGCCAGGCACAAGGGCTGGGGAGGTAGCCAGCTGGAGGGTCAAGGGCTAGAGTGTTGTGGGAAGAGCAGGCATTGCCTGAGGAGGCCCTGACATGAAGAAACATGGCTCATTTGGGAGAAGGCACCCAGCTAAAACACGCAGGTCTGGAATCAGACAGACTGTGAGGTGAACCCTAACTCTGTTTGAGGTAAACCAGTCATTCTCAGAGTAGAGTTCAGGCATCAGCACCGCCGAGGACCTTCTGAGAAATGCAAATTCTGAGGCCCCACCTCAGATATACTGAAGCAGAAACCTTAGGGTGGCACTCAGCCACGACCACTCACTGAGGCCAGCCATCTAATGTCCGAGGTCTTACTTTTCTTGATGCATATCTTTCTCACAGGACTGGTGAAGGTCAAAGATCACAGACGTATACCCAGCATGCAGTCAGTATTTAATAAATGCCAGCTCCTCTGTTAGGCCATCAACAAGGTATTGCAGTGGTTGAAGCCGAGAAGCCATGTGAGGAGAGATGGGTGACAGGGCCCAAGTGTTCACACCTGGATGGAAGCAATTGTGGGCAGGCAGCACATTTCCAGGGCTTGCAGGCTCATGGCATTGGCCCAGCTAGTAAGATGCCTGTGGTAGATCGTGTCTCCATCTTGTTGCCAAGGTACAAGCCAATGATTCACTATAGCACCCAATCTAGTCACCTTAGGATGCCCAAATTGAAGATCTGAGAAAGTCTGAACCCAGGATGTGCATGGGACATCGAACTTCCCTGAGAGGCAATCTGGACCCTTGCTCAGTGGACCATCATGGTGACTCCGTAGCAGAGGCCTCCCTAAGGAAGTAGTGAGCATCTGGGTGAGGAAAGCTGCTACGGAAGATGTCTTTAAAAGCATCAGCACCAGCGAGTGGAATGAAGGAAAAAAATAATATCAGAGCAAAAATAAACAAAATAGAGTCTAAAAAAACAATACAAAAGATCAATGAAACCAAGAGAACTGACACCAAAAAGATAAATAAGATTGACAAACCTTTAACCAGACTCATAAATAAAAAAAGCGAGAGGACCCAAATAAATGAAATCAGAAATGAAAGAGAAGTAACAACTGACACCAAAGAAATACAAAGGATTGTAAGAAAGTATTATGAACAGGCCAACAAATTGGACAACCTGAGAGAAATGGACAAATTCCTAGAAACATACAATCTTTTAAAACTAAATCAAGAAGAATCAGAGAATTGTAATAAACAGATTACAACTAGAGAAATTAAAGCAGTATCAAAAAACTTCTAAACAAACAAAAGCCCTGATGGCTTGACAGGTGAATTTTACCAAAGATTCAAAGAACTAACACCTATCCTTCTCAAACTATTCCAAAAAATTCAAGAGGAAAGAAGACTCCCAAGCTAATTTTATGGGGCTAGGATTATCCTAATTCCAAAGCCAGATAAAGACACTACAAAGATAGAAAATTATAAGCCAATATCCCTGATGAACACAGAAGCTAAAATCCTCAACAAAATATTACCAAATTGGATCCAATAATACATTAGAAAAATCATACACTATGACCAAGTGGGATTTATTTCAGGGATGCAAGGCTGGTATAATATTCGCAAATCAATAAACGTTATACACCACATAAACAAAATGGAGGATAAAAATCACATAATCATATCAATAGATTCAAAAATGGCAGTTGATAAAATCCAGCAACTATTTATGATAAAAACTCTCAGCAAAGTGAGAATAGAGGAAGCATTTCCCAACATAACAAAGACCATATATGACAAACCTATAGGCAACATCATACTAAATGGGAAAAAAATACAAGCATTCCCCATAAGATCAGGAACAAGACAGAGTTGTCTGCTTTCACCACTCTTATTTAACACTAGAGGCCCGGTTCACAAAAATTTGTGCACTGGAGGGGTCCCTCAGCCAGGCCTGCCCCCTCTCACAGTCCGGGAGCTCTCAAGGGATGTCCTACTGATGGCTTAGGCAAGCTCTATATGGAGAGCGGGCCTAAGCTGCAGTCTGGCCTCCCTCTGTGGGAGGCGACCAGTCAATCAGGGAAGGCACTGCCCCCATCACCCCCTCACTGCTGCTGCCTTTAACCTCCCTCTGTGGGAGGCGCCCAGGCTGATCAGGGAAGGGCAACACCCCCATCATGCCTCTGCTGCTGCCACTGTTGCTGCTGCCACTGTTCCCATCACGGCTGCCTGAGCCTCGGCCCTTGCAGCCACTGTGGCTTGCCTGAGCCTCTGGCCGGCCCTGGCAGCAG